CGAATGTCCGATTTGGGCTGAATGTCCGATTTGGGCTGAAAATCCGATTTGGGCCGAAATTCCGATTCAAGCCGAGAATTGAGTTCTTCAAATCATAAACTGTGGAACTTCAAAACTTAACGTCACTAAATCTCTCACTTTAACACTGTTTTCTTAGCATTTTGAAAAAATAAAATTGATTTCCTCAATTCACATAGTTTTGGAGATATTTGAAACTGAATTTAAAGCACATTTTTTAAAAATCTACAAAGTTTTTGTGTAACTTTAAACTCAATATAAATTAAAACTTTTAAAATCACTATTTTTTTTTCATTTATTTAAAAAATTGAATGTTTAATTGTTCTCTCCTCATCCGGACAGAAATCCCAATGCTTGTTGGTCAAGCACCAGATGAAGGGCATATTTTCAATACTGGGATTTATCCTGATTCCAAAAGGGTTGATATGTCTATGTAGAGCAAATGTGGCCCCAGTTAGAATGGTTTTCAGACACACAGACAGACAGAATTTGCCGTTTATTTATTGAGATTAGTAGTTCTGATGAATGATTCAAAAATGTTTTCCCTTTCATTGTTTATGACATCCTGCCAACGATCCACTAACTGTTCAATACCGCGACGATATAAACCCGTAGCTTTGGGCCCAAGGAGGCGGTGTAATGGTTAGCAAGTTTGTCTGGCTATAACATTTACGACTGAATAGTGAGTTCGATCCTCACTGGGTGCCGCGTACTTTCTGCTTTGTGCCACATGTAAGCTACGCTTGGAAAATGGCTAGAAATCATTAGCTTTTGAATCGGAAAATTCCCCAAGCCTCGTTTTAAGCTCCACATCGTTGGATGAATTTAAAAGAATCCCAAGAAGAAAAAAAAAGCCTCCCCTCATCATAAAAGAAAAATATAATTTTGGAATCTTCGCAGAAACAAACAAATAAATATATATATACACACATACACACATACATACACACACACACACACACATATGCGTGCGTAATGCTTATATACGTACGATCTCATGTATAGACATGTACACGCGCTCGTTCAAATCCCGACTTTGCGAAATCGACGTAAGCAGATTGAGTCGATAGATCAGCAAGTCTATATAGATAAGCATTAGTTTCAATTCTTTATAGACATTAATAGAATAGCTAGTGACTTATGTCTCTCTTATTTTCCATTACCACTGCCTTTAGATATAGAAAGTAAATAAATAAAACGAATAAAAAGGAAAGAAAAAAAATAGATAAAAAAACACCCCAATCAATCAAACAAAACGAACATCATTTTTTTTTCGTTTTGCTTAAGTAAAAAATAAAAGAAAAACCGGAAAACGTTTATGATTGCTTTTGGAAGATTTTGTCCTTTGATGCATACATATATATATATATATATATATATATATATATATATATATATATATATATATATATATATATATATATATATGTATGTAATGTATGCATGTATATTTCCTTGTTAATATTTGTTTTTTTCTAATGTCGCTCTCTTTCTCTGTAAAAAAACAAAAAACAAAAACAGAAACAAATGATGTATTCCAGGATAAAGAAGACTAAAATAAAACTAGAAACGGAATCAAGTCCAAAGTCGGCCCTGCCGACATGACTGCTTTTCTTTCCAATAGCCCAGGCGTCCCTGAAAATAAATCAGCTGCATAAACGTCTCTCCTTAGAAATGTCACCGGTGCTGGTGCTGCTGCTGTCGAGAGGGGTGAAACGCCTTCCCTGCCTTAGTGCTTGACTGGTCGCTCGGCTGGACACGAGTCCCTCGATTCTGTTTTACCAAGTATAAACATGGCGCCCGGTGAGACCAGATCAACTTTTGATAAGGAATTCTACTGAAGAAAAACGCCATTCATTTTATTTAGTTTATCGTTTGCAGGAATGAAACATTTTGAGCCGCCGCCGTCACCGCCACCGCCACCGCCGTCCGTTTGCAAAAAGCAGAAGAAATCAATGGCAAAATGGCGGCGCTCACTGCGAAAATGTTTCCTCCATGACACAATCCAACATTGGGAAGAACAGAATCACAGCTGAACGCTAATTCGTTACACACACACACACACACACACACACACACACACACACACACACACACACACACACACACAGAGAGAGAGAGTGAGAGAGAGAGAGAGTGAGAGAGAGAAACAACACACACGCATACATACATACGCATGCATAGGCACACAGACATACGCACACTTGCATACGTCTACCTACACACGCATGCACATACACGTACACACACATACACGCATATACACATGCTGTCGTACAAATACAAACACGCATGAACACCTGCACACGCGTTCGCACGCAGTCATATACACACAATCACACATGCGCAATCACACACACGCACACACACATACACACACAAATGCACATACACATACACACAATGTACAGGTTCAAATATTTTAAATCTTTTATCTTGTGGTATTCGGAACGATACGATAATTCATATCAATGGTGCTTTAAACTGACAACGATAAACATGAAAGTTCATTTTGATGAAGAGAGCAGAAAAAAATCTATCTATCTATCTATCTATCTATCTATCTATCTATCTATTCGTATCTATTTATCCATCTATCTAAGTCAATTCAATATCTATCTATCTATCTATCTATCTATCTATCTATCTATCTATCTATCTATCTATCTATCTGTCCGTCCTGGGTAAGACGGTAAACTACATTCAACAGTAAGGCCTCTGATCAGGAGATTTTGAGGAGCGTAGAACCACCTCTTAATTGCTTGTGTCCCAGGTCCACCATGACCCGAGGTGGTAGCACCTGTTAGGGTCCCAGCTATGGGCAAATAGTTAACACCTAAACTGGGGTTAAAACACTATGAAAGTGTAAAATAGGTTTTAATACCAGGAATAAATTTTTGAAGAAAAATTATTACCAGCAATACATTTTGCAGAACTTAATATTCCCAGCAATACATTTTGGAAAAAATATATTACCAGCAATAAAAATCTTGTCGGCATTAAATAACCCATTGTGGTTGATATGCTGTAAAACAAACCAAACTTATCTATCTATCGATACTTATAAAACTAGCTTTTTTAATAATCTATCTATCTATCTATCTATCTATCTATCTATCTATCTATCTATCTATCTATCTATCTATCTATCTATCTATCTATCTATCTAAGTCAATTCAATATCTATCTATCTATCTATCTATCTATCTATCTATCTATCTATCTATCTAAGTCAATTCAATATCTATCTATCTATCTATCTATCTATCTATCTATTCGTATCTATTTATCCATCTATCTAAGTCAATTCAATATCTATCTATCTATCTATCTATCTATCTATCTATCTATCTATCTATCTATCTATCTATCTATCTATCTGTCCGTCCTGGGTAAGACGGTAAACTACATTCAACAGTAAGGCCTCTGATCAGGAGATTTTGAGGAGCGTAGAACCACCTCTTAATTGCTTGTGTCCCAGGTCCACCATGACCCGAGGTGGTAGCACCTGTTAGGGTCCCAGCTATGGGCAAATAGTTAACACCTAAACTGGGGTTAAAACACTATGAAAGTGTAAAATAGGTTTTAATACCAGGAATAAATTTTTGAAGAAAAAATTATTACCAGCAATACATTTTGCAGAACTTAATATTCCCAGCAATACATTTTGGAAAAAATATATTACCAGCAATAAAAATCTTGTCGGCATTAAATAACCCATTGTGGTTGATATGCTGTAAAACAAACCAAACTTATCTATCTATCGATACTTATAAAACTAGCTTTTTAATAATCTATCTATCTATCTATCTATCTATCTATCTATCTATCTATCTATCTATCTATCTATTCAATATCTATCTATCTATCTATCTATCTATCTATCTATCTATCTATCTATCTATCTATCTAAGTCAATTCAATATCTATCTATCTATCTATCTATCTATCTATCTATCTATCTATCTGTTCGTATCTATCTGTTCGTATCTATTTATCCATCTAAGTCAATTCAATATCTCTCTCTCTCTCTCTCATTCTGTTCCTATCTATCTATCTATCTATCTATCTATCTATCTATCTATCTATCTATCTATCTATCTATGAGTATGTGTGTGTGCGTTGTATGACATGCATATATATATAGTTACCCAGCTTTTACTGAGTGTGAATAAAGTCTACAGTTGTCGGAACCATGTGAGAATCGAACTTACATCACTAACAATTGTTTGCGAGATCAGTCCGCTAAACATTATTCCATGTTCTATGGCGTGGGCTGAGGGGTAACGTATATTTACGAAGCTCAGCTTAATTTGGCACAGCAATACAACAGTAGATCATGTAGTGCGGATCATATATGACGCTTATAGCACTAGCTTTCTAATAATCGTACTATGATAGGCGCCATCTTGTTATGAATCTCCACCCTTTCTCTCTCTCTCTCTCTTTCTCTCTCTCTCTCTCACCTACACCTGAGTTTCAAATGGACGGTGTGGTTGGAATAAAAGTCATCATGAAGTGTCGAGGGGGCATCACTAAGTCTGTAGACCCCCCATGTGCTTTGTTGAAGTTCGATTTGAAATTTTCAAGATTTAATGTTCGATCTGTTTACATAATTGTATTACGTCCGAGGAAAGAGATTATGTTAAAAACAAGACGCGTTGTGTAAAATAAGTGTTTTGTACGAAATTCATCAAAGAAACTGGGTTTATCAGGGGGTTGACCTTCGGTCACACTCGGCCTCATGATGGAGGAGCACGTAACCTCATACCTGTATCCTGTTTGCAGCCATGGAAAAAAAATTGTGATAGATGCAGTTATAGAAACAACCACCTCAGGGAAGGTTGATGGCAGTTTCACATACATCCCAGATGAAGAATATAAGATGCAAATTACGCACGAGGGCATCGGGTTCACATCACAAACTGGCTGATAGTAATTGAAGATGTTAAGTACAGAAGATGAAAGACTCGTCTTACCATTTAATTATCACGTCCGCCTTCATTGCAGATAGATAGATAGATAGATAGATAGATGGATAGGAACAGACTGTCATAGAGATAGATAGATAGATAGATAGATAGGAACAGACTGTCATAGAGATAGATAGATAGATAGGAACAAACTGTTATAGAGATAGATAGATAGATAGATAGGAACAGACTGTAAGATAGATAGATAGATAGATAGATAGATAGATAGATAGATAGGAACAGACTGTCGGATCGACCGATATATAGATAGATAGATAGGAACAAACTGTTATAGAAATAGATAGATAAATAGATAGATAGATAGGAACAGACTGTCGGATCGACCGATATATAGATAGATAGATAGATAGATAGATAGATAGATAGATAGGAACAAACTGTTATAGAGATAGATAGATAGATAGATAGATAGATAGATAGATAGATAGATAGATAGGAACAGACTGTCGGATCGACCGATATATAGATAGATAGGAACAAACTGTTATAGAGATAGATAGATAGATGGATAGATAGATAGATAGGATCAGACCGTCAGATCGACCGATAGATAGATAAGAACAGACTGTCATAGAGGTAGATAGATAGATAGATAGATGAACAGACAGAAACAGGCTGTCATAGAGATAGATAGATAGATAAATAGATAGATAGATAGATAGATAGATAGGAACAGGCTGATATATATATATATATATATATATATATATATATATATATATATATATATATATAGATAGGAACAGACTGTCGGATTGACCGATATATAGATAGATAGATAGGAACAAACTGTTATAGAGATAGATAGATAGATAGATAGATAGATAGATAGATAATGTATATCGGCCCAGGGTTTTGGAAGGCTGTTTCTCACCAACCCAGGCTGAGAATAACTAACGAATTCAGTTCACTTATCTGCCATGAGTGATACGCGCTTAGGCGATCATGTATCTTTCGATACATGACCGACAAGGCAGATTTTTTCCCGCACTTGGTTGCCATTTCTTTCTACGGTAGACCAGTTGCCATCCAAGGCTATAGAACCCGGTCTGTCGTGCTATTTACCCATAGCTGGGTGCAGAAGAAGATTCATACCTTTCCCATGGGTATTAGCATGTTAAGTGAATGTAATGGATTCGACTGGAATACTGGAGTGAATAAAAAGTTAATAATGAAGATTCAAGTCTTGTGTAACAATTTTGCTGGCACATTGATTTCATTATATCAAGACTTTTTGAATTACTCATGTAAATATATATCCTTGACTAGTATTACGGCACATCGAGGTGAAGCCATTTGCGAGAATTTCAATCAGTAAGTATAATCGACCTACCACCACATATCACCACTGACAAAACATTCGAAAGGCGCCTTCAGTAGCCCTATTCTTAGCAACCTTATCTTGTTGTTCTGTCGTGGTTTCAATCCTTGCACATCATCACCATTATCATCAGTCCCATGACCGGATGTGGTCACAGGCTTGCTGAATCCCTGACCATCTAACTCGGATGTCTTGAAACCTGAAGAGCTATTCATTTTAATTTACGCATAGCAAGACTTGGACAAGAAGAACTCGCAAAGCCTACGCTTTTCCATATCAGACCAAAGTCGATCTTTTCCGACGAGACGGCTCGCTTCGGTTGCGTCAGGGGAACACACGGCCCCGAAATTTGACTTCAGTTTAGGAAACCCTCCGCCCAGCGATGCCGCGTTATCACTGCCCTGTATATACTACCAGTTATTCAGTCTCATGTACAGATTTAGCCTGCAGCCGGTCGACACTCGATGGTGTTGTTACCTCCCGGATGAACTCCCCAGTAAAAAACGTCGGAACCAGTATTGACGGTGTTGTTCACATAGTTCAGTGCTAAATACAGTGAACTATTTTTTTTTGTTTAATGGCCGCTGAACGTTGGAGTAAACGAATCTTCATCAAATATAACATGTCTTTATAACATTTTATGTTTTGTCACACAGTGTAAATTCTTGAATATACCGGGTACATTAAACTATCTGTCAAAGGAATAGATAGGCTTACCTATTGCCCGGTCCACACAACTTCCCCGTCTATTAGGACCTCAACATATTCCCCGCCTAAATATGTGTAGTGCCCAAAAGAGTCGATTTTTGGATGACTCCAAGTTGGTATGGTATCCCCGGTTGATAAAGGAAGTCACACAATTTTAATGGAATTGATCCCAATGCGCCAATTACTACTGGAATCACTTTGACATTCCCTTCCTGCTTTCTAAACATTCATCCCGTCTCAACTTTCAAATAAAAGTAGTTTGTAATTTTCTCAATTACCCTGTTTGCTATACTGTAAATTACTTTCAAGAAATCAAACCCCAAATATAGTCTCCCATTATGTTTTCATTAAACGATCCTTGGCCGCCAGAACGTTCTAGAAATTCTTGAAATTTTTAAATCAGACTAGTTTGTAATTCTTTCTGAACAAGAGTAGAAGTTTATCCCTTGTTTCCTGTTTAGGATTGGGTTTCTAGTTCCTTCTAAAGTCTTATCATTCTCTTTCACTCCCAGTAACCCCTTGCGTCTTAGTGGCATTATCGCCTTTCTAGGGAAGTCATCACAAGTACCTCAAAAAATTCCCCCATGCATAGTGCTCGAAAGAGTCGATTATTGGATGACGCCAGTTTGTTATGGTATCCCCAGTTTGTCAAGGAAGGCACACAGTTTTAATACAATTGATCCCAATGCGCCAGTCACTACTGGAATCACTTTGACATTCTCTTTCTGCATTCCAAACAATATTGTCATCTCAACTTTCAAATCAGAGTAGTTTGTCATTTTCTCAATCACCTTGTTTGCTATACTGTAAATTACTTTCAAGAAATCAACCCAAATATAGCCTCCCATCATGTTTTCGTTAAACGGTCCTTGGAAGCCAGAACATTCTAGGATTTCTCGAAACTTTTAAACCAGACTAGTCTGTAATTCTTTCAATCTCCTTGTTTGCTATATTTGTATCATTTGGTATGGAAACATCAATAATATGACAGTTGTTGGTACATTTATCTTGCACAGTAATATCCGGACGGCGATGATGTATTATTCTGTCTGTCTGAAAATCAGTCCCAGAATATTGTAGCTTTTCCATTTTCTTCATTTGTTCTGCAAGGCACATGCTCATACCAATTTTTGCAATTTGATATCCGTACTTTCTACACAATAATCAATGTATATAAAAACATAATTTATCATGGCGTCTCTTTTATTTTTGAGCTTGCATTTTTCCAACATTGTTTTTGTTTCTTTATAGGCCGCTGAACTTTGGAGTAAAGGAATCGTCATCAAATATAACAATTATTATTATTATTATTATTATTATTATTATTATTATTATTATTATTATTTCTTTATTTCTTTATTTCAGTAATTTCTCAGATGAGATCTTAATAATTATTAATTATTTTATGGACATTAATTGCATGGTATTTATTACATGGAAATTATTGCATGGGAATTATTACATGGAAATGTAATGGAAAGCAGGCCCCCGACTAGCAGCATTAGGTATCATGCAATTTATTACATGGAAATGATTACATGGAAATTATTACAGCCTTAGGTATCATTATTATTACATTATTAAAAATATTACATTATTATTATTATTATTATTTGTGTATGTTATGTTTCCTGCTTTGTATCCTGTACAGCCGGGTCCAAACTATGGTCCTTAGGCCCAATAGGAGAATTGTCATTTAATTGATAGCACTTTTCTTAGTATATGAGATGTTCCTAGTTGAGCGATCTTCTAGGCAACTTGTATGTTGATGTAACATGGGACACTATTAGTAAAATTGTCCATTCCTTTTCTCATGAGGCCCAGAGCTCCCATTACTATATGGTCCCAGTCTTCATTCCCCACATCATGTTAATCTTGATCTCCAGGTCCTTGTATTTGGACAATTTCTCAATAATTTTCATGGAGGTGTTTCTCGCAGATGGTACTGCTATGGCAACAAGTATACACTTCCTGAATTTCTTTTATGATAATATCAGGTCTGATGGCTTTTATTTCCCTGTCAGTTTGAATTGACATGTCCCAGAGGATAGTTACATTGTTATTTTGGGTAACTGTGTTTGGTTGGTGCTCATACCATCTCTCAGTGGTTTCGATTTTGTGCTTCTTGCATATCTTCCAGTGAACATATGTCGCTACATTTTTATGTCTCTGGGTATATTATTATTATTATTATTATTATTATTATTATTATTATTTTCTTTGATTCCTGGCGTTTACACATTTCTTTCCGGGTCCCTCCCAGGGACCTAAGGTTAGAAATGGCATCATGACACTTTCCACTGACAAAAAAAAAAAGAAAAAAAAAAAGTTATACAGATAAAGCCCTTCGTAAAGTGTGGGCTGTACTTGTCAGAACAATTTTTGTATCTCCTTGAAGCATGGACTTCCAGGAATCCCTTCAATTAGTCTACTGCAATCTTTTCCAACCAGTCCTAGGGCTCCAACTACAACAGGGATTGTTGATGTTCCCATATGCCACACATTATTATTATTATTATTATTATTATTAATAATAATAATATCTTATTAATAATATTAATTATTATTAATTATTATTATTATTACTAATTATTAATTATTTTTAATATTATTAATATCTTAATATCTTATTAATTATCTTCTTATTAATATTATTATTAATATTAATATTATTACATTATTATTATTAAACTTATTACATTATTATAATTATTACTGCCTTAGTTATCATGCAATTTATTACATGGAAATTATTGCATGGTAATTAATGCATAGTAGACCACAATGAACAACCTCATTTTTTCTCTGACTCTACGTGTTCATCACTTCCCGGATTATACTTGCCACTCCTAAGAGGATTCCTTTCTACCAAAGTTCCACTGAGTAATAAATGCCGATTTTCTTTATCCATGTCATCATCATTATTATTATTTTTGTTTTTGTTCAAATTTTGAATAATAGAACATTATCGACTATACAGAATAAAATTATTTGAAAGGATATTTTATCGGACATTATCTCTTATTAGAATAAACGTTATTTGACACGTGTGTCAATTGCTATTTTTTATTTTATTAAACAGGGAAATTAATGGCAACCTGCTTAGATTAAGAAGTCCTACAAAAGGAATGGAATCTGCATGCCTAAATACCTCAGGGAAAACACTTCTTAAACCGAAGCTTACCTCTACCAGTTCGGCCACGGAGTTAGACTGAAAAGTCCGAATTACCTGTTAAGGAAGCAATGTTTTTGTCACTAAGACTTCTACGGATTTATATCTACTAACTTCTGTTTTGTACCCGAAATGTAAACAACAGTCATTTTCTTTTTTTTTGTTGCTTAGAATACTGATGCCACATATAGTTTGGTGCCCCTGCTATTTACCTTGAGCTCCTTGTTAAAATACAAAAAAAGAATCAGCCATATTATTGGTCCTGATATGGCGGCTCGGCTTCAGTCATTTTTCCACCGTCGTAAGATTACCTATGTCTTTTCTCTAAATGGTAATTGTTCGGATCAGCTAAGGTGCCTGCACTTTACGGTGGAGAAATGGATATCGGCTCGAATTGAGGAATTGGAGAGACGAGTTCGAATTTCAATCGAATACACTTACGTTTTAATAACCTTGAGAAAGGTATAAATACTTTCTCTCTCTCCTCCCAGCTATGGGTAAATAACAGGACAAACCGGGTTCTGTAGCCTTGGATGGCAACTGGTCTACCGCAGAAAGAAATGGCAACCTACTGCGGGAAAAAAAATCTGCCTCGTCAGTGATGTATCGAAAGATACATGATCGCCTAAGCACAATATCACGCATGGCACATAACTGGCTGACTCGACTGGCATCGAGATCTCATTTACAGATAAGCTAGCTAGATGTAGCCGCAACTTTTATACTAACAGCTTCTGTTTTCTTGTAGAACTCCCTTCCGTCTTCATGCCTTCCAGTGAACTTTAACCTGAAAAATTTAAAATGCAATGTCAATCGCTCTCTACTGTCCTCCTGACGTCTTTTTTTTTTCTCTTCCTGCTCATTATTAATGTTTCTCTTAGTTCTTTCATACCCAGTAACTCCTTGTGTCTTAGTGGCTTTATTGCCTTGCATGGGGTGATATCGATTGAAAATTTTTTTTTTTGAAAGGATTTTTTTTATTATTAATTTCATTTTTATTATATTAAAAAAAAAAACAGGGGTAACAACACAAACCGGTGTATCCACTGTTTTTAGTCTATAGCAACAGAATAAACTATTAAAAAAAAACTATTA